ACCTTCATTGACGCGCGCAACCAGCGGAGAGCGGTGCGAGTGAAGCAGAGGTCACCAAAAGGCACATCCAGATATGAACGAATGCGGAACTGGCGGACTAGCCACACAAGTCTCGCGGCGGCGGCCCGTCCTTGCCCTGTCGGTACGTCCGACCAGCCCGAGGAGCAGGCAGCGTCGTCAGCTCCGCCAACCCATCGGCCCTCATCGTACGCTGCCTGCATCGCGGCGAGGCGCGAGCCGGCTGGCGGGGTTGCCGCCGCGAGCAGCGCGGCTGGAAGGGTCAGGAGGAGGAGCTTTGGGCTTGACATTGTGGTGGCAGGTCAGATACTACGTGACGTCGTGTCTTGATTGAGCACTTGAGCACTGGATAGGGTCGATTCCGCATGGTACGGGACCCCTCGATCGTCTCGCCCTTCCTCACTGGTGTGTTCATTGGGGGGGGGTCATAACAAACACGGTGCAGGATCGAGGTGCACGCTGCAGAAGCAGTGTCGTCCCCCCTCTCCCCGACGCGGGTTCGATGCACGGACTTTCCTTTTTACCGCCGCGCAAAAGGATTTCTTTTAGGCGCGGGCGGGCGATGTGGCCCTGCTTTTCGCTGCATGCTCGAGCCCTCGGCGAGGGCTGAATGCAGGCGTGGTCTGTACTCGCCAGATGTGGCCCCTCCTGCAGGCGCTCGGCGCACTGCTCGTCCTGTTTGGCATCTTCACGCACGCTCGCCGGCTGTCCGCCTCACTCAGCGACGACGTTGACCTGCTGCCGAGGGGAGCGGCGCTGCTAGACCCGTCTCACGCACAGCATGCCGCCATTGTGCGGCTGCCCTCCTTCCTCAGCGCGGCCGAGATTGGTGTGCTCGAGGTAGCCGCCAGCGACCATCGCTCGAGCCACCCGGACTCCGGCTTCACGCTCTACCTCCAATCCGGCGGCCTGTCTGCGTCTGTGGACGCCATCGTGCAGCGAATCCACGAGCAGGTGCGAAGGATCGACGTCGAATCGTGGGGTCTGAACGCAGTCCACGACCTGGAGGGCGTTGCCGGGGCGCGCTTCAGCGCCTCTGGCTCGTCGAGCGAGAGCGACGCCTCGGCAGACAGCGGCGGGTCGAGTAGTTGCTCTGCCAGCTACTCTGTTGACGGGTCGATGCGTGCGAGGCGGTCAGCTGCTCGGGAAGGCGCCGCGTGAAGCGCGCTCCCTCAGTGCCGTGGCGGCGCGAGTAGGACAGTCGAGTTCCATGAGTACGGCAGCGGCAAGCGGCAGGCGCGGGCGGCGAGAGGAGAGAGGGAGAGAGATAGAGAGGGGGGGGGGAGAGGGAGGAGGGGGGAGAGGGTATGGCATGCTTGGCGCTCCCTCTGCTCGCCGACACTCCTTTCCAAGGGCGCTCTCAGCGCGCGCGTGCCTGCTGCAGGTCTGCGCCAGCCACTGCGACCACGGCTCGCTCTTCACCGCCGACGTGCCTCCGCCGCACGGTTGGCTTCCCGCCCCCACCTCTCCGCCTCACCCTCGGCACGCCTCTGCTGCAGGTGATGCTCAGCTGCACGGGCGACTTCACGGGCGGACGCTTCTCGACGACGACGGCGAGGCAGGGCCAGGCGCGGCGGTAGACGCGCAGCACACACGACCCGAGCAGCTCGCACGTCTCGACTGCCTCACCCTCCGCCGCACCGCGCCTCCCTACCGCTCCCGGCCACTCCCGGCCCCTCCCGGCTAGGCGCCCGTCGACACGGAGCACGACTTTGAGCGAGGCGCGAGCAGCGCACACACACCGCTCCCCGCCCGCACGCCTCGCCCGCACGCCTCGCCCGCACGCCTCGCCCGCACCTCCCAGCGTCCTGCACCTCCCAGCGTCCTCCTTGCGCCGCTGGGCGAGGTTTGCCTAGAGGTGGAGGGGTGGAAAGAAGCAGGAAGGGAGGCGGGTCCCGAGGGTCGTCGGCGAGGCACCCCTCCTCCTGTCCTGGCAGGCGACATGCTCGTCTTCCCGGCGCACAAGCCCCACTCGGTGAGCCGCGTCACGAGCGGCTGCCGCGCCGTCTTTGTCGTCGAGTTCTGGCGCGGCCCTGCGTGCACCTGCAACCAGCGCTGCATGGGGCGGTGCGCGGCGGGGCGGAAAGACCATGGGAGTCACGGGCCCTCGGGCCGCCGCCGCCGCCAGCCGCGAGCCGTTCCACCGCAGCCGCTCCTCGCCGCTCGTCCAGGCGCGGCGCGCAGCTAGCCACGGCCTGTGTGTGGCTTGGTGTGTGTCTGATGTCTCAGTCTGAGTCTCCGAGCAGTGGCGGAGTGCTATGTCGTGTAATGGACTGATGCAAATGCCGGCACGTGCGCGTCCCCCGCGCCCGGCGCCGCGCGCAGCCCCTAGCGCTCTCTCTCGGTGGACAAGCGCTGGAACGCCTGTGTGAAGCTGGCCACATCGCATTGCGGACGACTCTGATCTCTGTGGACTGTGCATCGACCGGACGTGGGAACGCGATCCGCGCGACCGCGAGATTCCGAGAATCGTAAGCAATCGAGTTCGAGATCTTCATCTTGACGAGATGCCGCTTGAAGCTTGAGCGGAGATCGACCTCGCCTCCATCGTCCATGTTCGCGTGGTAGTCTAAGTCTTTTTTGAATTAACTAGTGGTAGTCAGCTCGTACCATGTACGGTCTCGTAGTAACTAGAGTATACCGCGCGCGAACCCCTACCTCCGAGCGGGGCACGCGCGCGTTACGCGTACGGCGTAGTCCGTACATGTAGAGAGGGAAGGGACAAACCCGCCTCTTAAGACACATCTGTAAGTCTGTCTGGTGCACTGGCAGGAGCCATACTCGCATAGGGGGCGCGTGCTAGCTGACTGTAGCCAGCTTCCCGGCCTCCGGCGTCTACCGGGAGCCTCCCCCCGGACCATCGACCTCGGGAGCTCTCCCGCACCGTTTAAGCGTTTAAGACCGTTTAAGGAATCGGCGGCCCAGCAGCTCTTAAAAAACCTGCCCGGGCAGGTTTTAAGCCGTTTAAGCCGCAGGCGCCCCAGGGCCCACCCTTTTAAGCCTAGGGGTACCCTAAGAGCAGTACGGGGTACTAGGAACCGTTATGATGTATCTTATTCCGGGGCCGGTGTGCGGGGAGTGAACCTTAACGACCGCCCAGCATAAGCTTTCTGAACGAACGAATCCTCGGGCCAGGATCATCAGCATATGTCCCCTCCACAACATCCCCCCCGGACCGCCGGAGCAGCAAATCGTCGGTGAGAAAGTAAAGGAAACTGACGACGAGAGACCTGCAAGCCGACTGTGGCCTCTCTCTACGTTAGCGCTGCTGCAGCAATAAAACCAGACACGCCCCGGCGCGCCCCACCTCTCCTGCGCACTGACTCCGCTGTCGCGCGCACGTGGGGAGGTGTTTGCGCGGCGCCCCCGCGCGCACACAAAGCATGCTCACAGTGCCAAGGCTGACGATGTACGAGGGGGGAGGGGGCGGAGAGGGGAGAGGGGAGAGGGGGAGGGGCGGAGAGGGGAGAGGGGAGAGAGGGGAGCGGGGAGAGACCCAACAGACGTGCACATCGGGCAAGGACACAGAGAGGTGTACGGTAGGGCGGCCGCGGTCGGGCGCTCCAGCGTCGGCGGCTCAGTTGGTCATAACCTTGATGTCCATGATCTGCTCGGTGCCGCACGCCGCCTGCACAATGACGTAAAAGTCCTTCTCCTCCGCAAGGTGCTCCCTGATCTTCTTGGAGAGCTCGTCGGCGCCGGGCGGGGGCTGCGCCATCGCCTCAGGAATCTTGAGGTCCTCGCGCGTGTTGCCCTCAGCGTCCAAGACGGTGATGAAGCCGTCCTCGTCGACGTCCATCGCCTGGTACTCGATCTTCTTGACGAAGGGAGCGTAGGTCGTGTGCGACGCAGGCACGAGGTCCTCAATCTGCGAGCGAGGGCGAGGCGGGGCGGACCGCTCAGCGAGTCGCGCGCACAGCCGCGGGGGCGGCCGGGCGGTGGGAGCTCTCTCTCTTTGGCAGGCGGCGAGAGGCGGGGACGGCGAGAGGCGGGGACGGCCAGGCCGGACAGACGCCACGTGCCAGCCCCTGGCGAGTGTCGGAACGGCCAGAGAGGCGAGCTTGGCGGCGGGCGGCGGGCGGCGGCGAGGTGCGGCGCGCCTTCTTGCCAGTGAAGATGTCGATGGCCACGAAGTGGCACTTGGCGTGGCCGTGCTTGCCGGTCTTCGAGCTGGTGACGTCGGACACCTTGCACGGGCGGCCCTGCGACAGGCAGCTGGTGGCTCGAGGCGGTGCCGCTCGCGGCTCGCAAGGCTGGGTGACATCGCGAGGACAGCTCCGCTCTGCTGACGCGGCGCGCTGCACGCGATCTGCAGCCGGCGGCGGGCGGGCGCGCGCCTTGATCATGATGAAGCCACCCTTGCGGATCTGGCCCGCCTCAATCGGGTACGACTCGGAGGCGCCAGACTCCGTGCTCTCGAACACCTGGTCCGGGTCGTCAGCCATTGCCGAGGGGTGTCCTGCGCGGGGCGGGCTGCGGGCCGGTGAATGCGGCAGCGGGAGCTCAGAACCTCTCTGCGTGTGTCAACACTGCGCCAGCGCCGCAGGCCGGCCGGCGCGGCGCGACGGCAGCAGGTCCGACGCCGCGCCGCCGTGGTGGGCCGACGGCGCGGCCCGCAGAGGCGAGCCGGGCAGACCGCCGCGCCGGCCCGTCTCTGGTTTTGGGCGCTCTCGGGTTTTGGGCGCTCTGCCGCGCGCCTTAGCTTAGCTGACGCGTGCACCGAAAAAAAAGCTCTCAAAAAAGCTCGATAGGATGGGGCGGGAGGCGCAGCTCATGCTAAGAGCTAGAAGAGGAGATAGAGAGAACAACCACCCTGTCCCGTTATTGCGTACACCAACAAACACCACAAAACGCTCTCTCTCTCCTGTCCTCACTCAGGGGGGTCACAACTACCAAGTCCCTCGACTAGCTGCCACAGGGCGCAGCTGCCACAGGGCGCAGCTGGAGACGCTCCCCCTCAATCGGCATCCACCCCCACCCGCTCCAGCCCCACTTCTGCTGCCGAGAGCTGAATCGAAGCAAGCGTGCCATTGCATCTTGGCGTGCTCCTGGAGCGCGGCTTTCTGCGGCCACGAGCACGGCGGAGTCGGCGTCGTAGCGCGCATCGTTCCCGCTCATCGCCCATTCCTCCCGTGACGTGTGTCGGCCGCGATTCGATGTCGCCACCTTCATCGCCAACGAGGACTCCCTCGACTGCAGGGGGGCTCCGGCGCGGGGAGGGACTCCGCCTGCTGCGCTGGCCGACTGCGCCCTCCTCCTCCATGGGATCGATCCGATTCCGCAGCGGCGGTGCTGCGCGGGAGGCGGCCGCGGGCACGCTGGGCTCGATCAGCGGCGGGAGCGCGAAAGCACGGATTTGGCGGATTCTTGGCTTCAATTTTACGAATGTCTCGGCACCAGCTGAAGGCTTGCCCCCGTCCACGGCCCACATCGCCGGATTCGTGCACGGTATTCGGATTTTGGCTATTTGCTCGTGTGGGGGTATATCGCAGATTTGTCAATGGTACCGCGTCTGCGACGCGGGCGCCTTGCGGGCAGAGCCCTTAGCCACCCTTTTATCTTGCGCGGTCATAACGCGCTTGATGTCTGGCCGGGTCGGCCAGCAGGGCTGGGCTGCAGGGCGTGCACCACCATACAGAACAAGCTCGTCAGGTGCAGGTGTGAACGGGTAGTCTCCGCCCATCCCCAGGGCCTCCAGGGCTCGCACCTCAACCTCTCACAGACCAGCGCATAGCGCCATAGGACGTATTTTCTTCTCATAACAAGGCTGTGAATGTGCTTTTCTGTGAACAGAGCTGCTGTCTCTCCCTTCTCGACTGTCTGTGCTTGCTTGTGCGTCTTGGCCTGAGGGAGGGTGTAGAGGATGTAGAGTGTAGAGCGCTGTAGAGCTGTAGAGATGTAGAGCGCTCTGGAGCGCTGTAGAGCTGTAGAGCTCTACATCGGCTGCGTGACGAGGCGGGTGCGTTGTAGAGCGATGTAGAGCGCGATTTTGCTGTAGAGTTTGTTGTAGAGGCTCTACAGCCAAACCGCCGGGAAGGCAGTGACTCAAAGAGGTCGAGTCGCACTAATGGGGTGTCTCCGAGCTTACTGGAGCTCTGATGGACGGCCCTGACTATCACTGACACACAGAGACGGTCACTCTGACGGCACACAACACCCTATAACTGCGTCATGACCAGCCTGCCATGCGTCGCCGGTGCCGCATTCGTCGCTGTGCTTCTTTAGCAGGCGGTGGACTATCGGCTGCGAGGACGGTCGCATTTGCGCGAGGCGAGGCGAGCATTCAGACGCGTTGCATGCGCCATGACTCGCGCCAGCGCGTGCGGGAGCTCCTGGCTGAGCGTTGAGTCCAGGCGAGTTGCGCTGGCCACGATCGCTACGCCAAGCCGAGCTGACGCGCCGAGGCGCCGGCCAGTCGCAGCCGTGAGGCATGCCACAGCAGCAGAGGCACCTCCCACCCATTGGGCGGGCAGACAGAAGGCCAGGGCAGCACTGGTAAGTGCAACGCGCCTCATGTCGGAGAGCGACCGTGCCTCGTTCGCCGCTTATGATGTAGAGTTTGTTGTAGAGATTTCACGTTGTAGAGCGCCTCTACATCGCTCTACAACGCACCCGCCTCGTCACGCGGTGGATGTAGAGCTCTACAGCTCTACAGCACTCTCCAGCTCTACAGCTCTACAGCGCTCTACACTCTACATCCTCTACACCCTCCCTCAGGTCTTGGCTGTGGGATTATGTTTTTGTGTGAACAGAGCTTCATGTCACTCCAAACGGTTAGGGCCGCTGCCGGTGCGCCAGTCATGCATCTGGTCCACGCACTGCTCGCAAGTAAAGCGTCTTCACAGGTCGGCAGATACGCCTCACCTTCGAAAGGGTGGCTGCCTACCCCAAAGCCCAGCCCGCGCGGGGCATCGATTTCTCTTAACGATTTCACTTTAAAACGCTGGTGCAGATGGGGTTTTCTCTATAGAAGTCGGAGCCTTGCGTCCAAGGAGAGGCAGCGTGCGGCTCCGTGGACTCGGCCATCTCCCGCGGGTGAGAGGGCGAGAGGAAGCACTCCCGCCCTCTGAGGCGGCCGTCCGAGTCGGGGAGGCAACCACACAACCATCCCCGCGGGTGTGGACGGCCTTATCGGCCCGCTATGCTAACGTAGGGTCGTCGTAGCTTCAGCCGTGAATTCCTGCACAGGGCCGTGTCTGGCGAGTAGAGGCACACGCACGCTCTCTCGAGGTCTCTTGGAGCAGAGCCCCGGCGAGTCCTCGAAAGAGCAACCGAATGGGTCCTCGGAGAGGGTACCCTGGGTGGGCGGGGCCTCTATTGAATACTCGCCAGGGGGCGTGTGGAAATCGCCCGCCCCCGCCCCCACGCGCCCCCACGTGCACAGCAGCGCCGTGTGTGGGGGTTGCTCGCACTGCAACATCGGACGACCCTATAGCCGCGGCAGCCGTGAACTTGCTGCACGCCGTCCTCCACGTCGCCACTGCAGCGCCGGTGTGCGCCGCTCCCGCTGCAACTCAACATCGCGCTGTGCGATGTCGATGTCGAGCAGCAGCAACGACTGGGAGCTGTTCCAGCAGTGGCAGCAGCAGATGCAGCAGAAGAAGGGCAGGCTCCGCGGAGCGAGTGGTGGTGGCGCAGCGGCGAGGGTGCGGCAGCTCGAAGCCGACCGATGGCCACGGCATGGCGACTTGGACGATGAGGAAATTGCGATGCTCAAGCGGCAGCGAGATCGAGCCAAGATCGGGCTGATCGTGGCGGGCGTCGTTATAGTGTCGCTGTGGAGTTGGCTGTCCTTTGCCATCGCCTCTGCATACCTGCATTCCAAGCAGAACCGACATTAGGTGTGATTTGTGTGTGGTTGCGGCAGAGGGGTCCTTCTGCGTTGATCGGCAACAGGCTGATCGAAGAGTAGGTCGGGAGTATGTCTCCTGTGCCGTACTTGCACGGACATCTGGACGCTCTTTCTGGTGGAATTCGTCATCGGAGGACCGATCGCGCGCGCGGCGCGCGGCCTCCGCGAGATTGCAGATATTCCGCGGGGACGCGGCAAGAGCCGGAGGTTGTCTGGCGTCTGGCGGTCTGCCGCGCAAGCCCCTGGGCCACGGCCTGGGCCGGGCCGTCGCTCCGGGCGTGCGGGGTCGGCATGGGGGTGGGGGCGGCCGCCGCGCGGCGCTACAAAGAGGCGCGTAACACACTGGTGAGAGAGAGGTGAGGAGCTAGGTGAGCTGAGGAGACTGACGGTCTGAGAGAGTTTACGGCGTTTTACTCAGAGCACAGAGAGCGAGATCACCACCGAGAGACGGACGCGCGCGCCCGCCCCGCGCCCGTCGCTCTTTCGGAGGACATGTGCGCCCCGGCTCTCTCATCGGAGCACGCCGTCACACACACACACACACACAACGCCTCGCCCACCACAGAGAGGAATCCAGAGGAAACACACACGCCTCAGCGTCGGTTCATCATCGCTGCCGCCGTGTGCTTCATCCCACTCGAGCCGCACCTGCGCAGCGCGGTGTCGCGGGCTGAGTGAATGCGCCCTGGCTCGCTCGCTCCTCCTCGCCCTCCTCTCCCTCCCAGCAGCCACGCCCTCTCGCCCTTCTCCCTCTCCCGGGCAGAGGGCGGCGCGCACGTGGCCAGCACCGCCGCCTTGCGCCGCTCCGCCTCCTTCTTCCTCTCGTCGAGGTCGTGCAGCTTCTTGCGCGTGTAGCCCATCTTGCGCTCCACCTTAGGGTTGGGGTTGGAGTCGGTGGTAGGGTAGGGCATCGCCAGTGCAGCCCCTCTTCCCGCCGCACCTTCGCATCCGCCTGCCGCTTGGACAGCTCCGCCACCGTCCGCATCCACTGGTCCTTGACCGTCTCGGTCGGCGCCTCCAGCCTGAGCGTCTCGTCGTCGGCGACCACGCTCCACTGCAGCGGCACCTGTGGTCCCCGACGCCCGCACGCGTCACGCGGCCGCCGCTTCGCAAGGCCGCGCGCACGGCACCGGCGTCTGGGAGCGGAGAGCTATTGATATTGCTACGCATGTATCACCGGCGTCTGGGAGCGGAGGATGCCGCCCGCCACCACGGGCTTGACCTCCCGCACGATGGCGAGCGAGATGACGCCCGACTCGGTCGCGCCGCCCAGCGACTGGTACGTGAGCATCGCAGAGTCGCGAGAGAGCGCGAGCCGCACAGGCACCGGTCCCTTGGCGGTGAGCAGCTTCATGTCGCACCCCTCCATCAGCGCGGCCGCGCGATCCCTCCGCGCCGCGTCCTCGGCGCGCCGCTGCGGCGGGGCGGGCGGCGGGCTCAGCATGCCACGGCCACCGGACACACGGCCTCAGCTGAGCGGTGAATGTGGGATGAGTGCGGAGAGAGCGTGCGGTGGTGGTGCAGCCGGCAGCACGCGCCTGCTGGAAATTTGCCACCGGCCGAAGGGCCATCCCGAGCAGGCCGGAGGTTGGAAGGTTGCTGCTGCTGCCGGCCGCCGCCGCCTCGTCATCACTGTTCGCCGCCTTCATGGGCTTTAGCTCCATGCCAGCGTTGTCGTCGCCAGCGCCGAGGCACGGGCAGAAGGGAGCGATGGCCTGCATTCTGTGTGAAAATTTCAGCTTGAAGAGAGGGAAAAACCGACGGGAGGGCCCAGACCTACCCTACCTACCCCGTCATGATACCCGCCCAAGCAAAAATAAACGCCACCTGCCGATTTGGCAGATTTGGGGCCCAAACCAGCCTCAGACTCGGCTCAGAGTCCGGGAAACTAGAGGGTGCTCTAGGGAAACTAGCAGGAAACACGGAAAGGAAACCAGGTAGGGTGCGAGAGGAAACCCTTGGAATTCACACATAGGGTGATAAGAATTTTACAACAAAACTCCCTCGCACAACACTGGGCACGGGACTGGCGCGCACTGGCACGTGATAAGAAAACAAGAACCTCGCATACGACGACAGTGAGGGTGTGAGAGACAGACCCAGGGAAGGTCTTTCACTACCTTACAGCCCCTGCCCGAGCTCAGGCTCGACAGAGGTCGGTTTGAACATTGCTTCATAGCCAAAGAAGAGTTCAAAGGGTGCAACTCTCTCTCACAGCCTCCCTTGGGGTGTCTGTTTTCTTTCTTTCTTTTAGCACACAGGTTCGACAGGAAAGAAAAGATAATGCCTTGCACACCGCTATGCGCTGGTCTGTGAGAGGTTGAGGTGCGAGCCCTGGAGGCCCTGGGGATGGGGTGAGACTACCCGCGGGCCGCCTAGAAGGCCCTCGCTGAGCTAGCCCCTTCTGTTTGCCACGTGCTAGGCGAGGCTGCTCAAGAGGAAACATTGACTCAAGCAGGTGGATGGAACTTTCAGCGGCGGCTCGAGGTGGCAAAGGTGGAGCGGCTTGAGTCGGAGGCGTCCATCCTCAAGAGAATCGTGGACGAGAGGGAGGGGAGCGGGAGGCTGATCGAGGAGGAACGACCGCACCCCCCCGCGCACACACAAAAATACTCCGCCGCCCCGAACTCCCCCGAAAAACAACATACCAGCCCCACAAGTTTACACAAGTACTCAAAAATAAATTCCCGAAGTGCCGCGCCGGCAGCAGGCCGCCGTACGCGTGCGGAAAACGAGCCGCCGCCGCCGATCGCTCTCGAAGAGAGCGTGGCGCAGCTGCCCACCCGGTGACCATAGCACGAGCTGAGTCGCCAGGGCCTCGCCTGAAGGGGGGCGGGGCAGGGGCGAGGAGACGAGGACGAAACCAAGCGTCTCGGGCCATGCCGGAAGGTGGTGTGCGAGGCGTGGACGCACCTAAAAATAAAAAATTAGATATTCTTACCTTCTTGCCCCCCTCCGAGACTGGAGACAGTCACACCCCAGTATCAGACCAGGGGGAGTGCCCCCCGCCCCCGCTTGCCCTGCCTACGCAGGATATAGCGTGCCCCGATAGCGGCGACACATAGCGAGGGACACTGCGCAAGGAGGGGGTGCGCGTCGACTTTTTCTTTTTTCTTTTTTGTCCTCTCGGGGGAATGTTCTCTCGGCGCCCATGGCCTTCTGAGGTTTCGTACTAATGACGTCCTTCTTGGCACTTCGGGCGTCTCTTGTATGTGTATCTGTTGGTCTAATTCCCTCGGTATGCTATATAGGTCGCCAGTTCGACCCCTCTCTCACTCGAAGCGATCTCTTGCTGGCTCCCTTTCCGCAAGCGGAAGGTCGCCAGTTCGAAACCTGCTTTGACCCTTATATGAAATCGCGTCCTCACGCTTGGCGTTTGGTGCTTCTTCGTTTTTCGTCACGGGTGGGCGTTTGGTGCTTCTTCGTTTTTCGTCACGGGTGGGCGTGGACGCACCTAAAATACGAGCAAGTAGCGGCGAAGGCGAGGGGGAGGCGACGGGATGAGGCCATGAGGGTGGGAGCGGCGAGGGTGGCCGGAATGGTAGCGGCGGCATGAGGGGGTGAGGGCGGTGGCGAGGGCGGTGGAGGTAACGGTAACGGTGGTGACAGGGCGGTGGGCGGCCACATCGCAGTGAGAGGAGAGAGATCCGACGCGAATTCCGATGGCCGGCGCGGTGGCGGCTGTGGCGCGAGAGGGCGGGGGCAATCAAATGACAGTGGCAAGCGAGTCGACCAGGCGATGCACTAGCCACTAGCACTACAGAAGAGCGCAGTGGGTGCTTCGGAACGCAAAGAAGAGCGTGGAGAAAGCTATGAGTAGGACTTAGACGCTCGCGCCGCCCGCTCCGGAGGCCGCATTCAGCCCGGAGGGGACCGCGGGAGCGCCCAATGGCGGCTTGGGGAGAGCCGGGTGTGTTTGCGCAGTGGCCCTGCGCGCTGGCGAAGGAGGGCAGCCTCTCCGCACAGGCGAGTTTCCTACTCGCGCAAACCTCACGGCTGAACGCAGGGCCTTCTCACTGGCGGCAGTTGTGGCCGGCGAGAGCACTCGACGAAGTGGAGCATGTAGACACCTGTGGCAAAGTGTGTCGCTCAGCGCAATCGTGTCTCGCTCATGTCGCGAGAAGAGGGGGCGTGCGCTGCGGGGGGCGTGCGCTGCGGGGGGGGGGCGTGTGCTCGCCGCAGTCGTAGTCGTTGTCTTGCTGTGGCGCGAGATGGCAGATGATGTGAGGCAGCGACTGCGCCTGTTCACAGATGCACGCGTGAAGAGGCGCTGTTTACACGCGTGGCATGCCGCGCAGTGGACGCTGTGTACCGTGAACCACGCCACGCCCTTCTCGTCCGGGCTCCCCTCCACCACGGCAGCCGCCTGGCCGTCCGCCGCCGCCACCGTCACCGTCGCCTCCGCCGCTGCCATCGCCTCCGCTGCCGACCCCTCGCCCGCTCGCGCCGCGGCCGCCTCCGCTATCACCGCCTCCGCCATCACCGCCTCCGCCTCTGCGGGCTGCGCCGCGCCGCCCGCCTCTGGCGCCGCCACCGCCGCCAGCCCCGCCTCCTCCGCCTCCTCCGCCTCCTCCGCCTCCTCCGCCTCCTCCGCCTCCTCCGCCTCCTGCATCGGCTCCTCCTTCTCCTCCTCCGAGTCGCTCACCTCCTCCTCCTCCTCCTGCGCCACCTCCTCCCCGGCCACCTTCTCCTCCGTCTCCGCCTCCTCCTCCCCCCCCACCCCGGTCACGGAGCTGCCTCCCGCCGCCGAACTCCCTCCCGCCGCCCCGCCGCCCACGGCAGCGAGACCCACCTCCGTCAGCGGCACCGCCGCCGCAGCACCGCCAACCTCCCCCTCGGCAGCCCCAGCCGCCGCCTGCGCCTCCTCCGCCGCCTGCGCCGCCTGCGCCGCCTGCGCCTCCTCCGCCGCCTGCGCCTCCGCCGGAGCCGCAGTCAGGTCCACCTCGGGCGTGACGGTGGCAATCACTGCGTCTGCTGCGCCGCCGCCCACGACTACACTCTCCGCCGGCGGCAGCACGGCCACCGACGCCGCCACCGCCTCCGCCTCCCCCTCCCACTCGCCTCCCTTGCCCTCGCCGGCCTCTGCGCAGGCGGAGCGGCGCGGGCGGCGACACCCCCTTCACACCGCCACCTGCAAGCGACGTGTCGCGGACGTGTCGCGGACGTGTCGCGGACGTGGCTAGGGCGTGGCGAGCGCCGTAGCTGAACTCGGCTGGCATCTCGGCCGCCTCTCGGCCACCTCTCGGCCGCCTCTCTCGCCTGCGGCAGGCGCAGCTCCTCTCTGCGCGCGGCGGTGTAGAGGTTGAGGAACCTGTGGCAAGCGGCTGCAGCGGGTGAGGCGAGGCGAGGCGAGGCGAGGCGGCGCGGCGGCGGCGCGACGACATGCGCAAGTCGCCGTAGATTCTGGCGGTGTCCGCGGTGCTGCAGGAAGGAGCCGAGGAAGAGGAGGCAGGGCTTGCCTAGAGGCTGAAGCCGAGGCAGGGCTTGCCTAGAGGCTGAAGCCGAGGGCGTGCAGGCGGACGCTGGCACCGCCAGCGAGGAAGGGGAGGGGAGGAGGGGAGGAGGGGAGGAGGGAAGGAGGGCAGGAGGGGAGCAGGGGAAGAGGGGAAGAGGGAAGAAAGGGAGGCGAGCCTCCGCACGAGGCCGCCGCCGCCTGCGCCTCTGCCACTCCCGGCTGGGCCGGCTGGGCGTTGGCGAGGACGAGGCCTGCTCGGAGGGGGCGGTGTGAGGGAGGCGCGAGGGAGGCGTGAGGGAGGGGCGCGAGACTCGGCGGGAGAGGGAGGCGAAGGGCGGCGACCGACTGGTGAAGGGTGGTTGGTGGGTGGTGGGTGGTGGGCTGGCAGGTGCTGCTACTGCTACTGCTGAGGTGGCGCGAGCCCGGGAAGCAGACGACGCCGAGGGACCAGTGGCCCCCGAGGCGGGGCTCGTGGACGGGGACAGGCGAGCAGGGCCTCGAGCTCACCTCGGGCCGATCTCGGGCTGACTTCCGGCTTATCTCGGGCCGATCTCGCGCTGATCTCGCGCTGATCTCGCGCTGATCTCGCGCTGATCTCGCGCTGATCGCGGGCTGATCTCGAGCTGATCTGTGTTTGCCCTCTCGGCCCCTCTCGGCCCCTCTCGGCTCCTCTCTCGCCTTGGAGAGCAGGTCCACTCCCGCGACCCACTTGATGAGCAGTTTGCGCAGCGCCTCTCCTGCCGACCAGCGGGCCGCGGGCGGACCGTCGTGAGCGCGTGCGCGTGTGCGCTGGTGTGTGTGGTGTGCTGCGAGGGAGGTGTAGCGACCGCCGCAGTTGCGTGTAGGGGCGCCTCGGCGCTGCAGGGCGAGGCGGAGGCGCTTGATGAAGAAAGGGGAGAAGATGTAGGTCCGCTCGGCGAGCCCGAGCTGGCGCAGCTGCTTCTCGAGCTTGAAGCGCAGGTACCATTCGACCAGGGTGTCGTTGAGAAGCAGCTGCTCCGGGCCGACCGTGCCGTCTGGCGTGCCGAGCCGGCGGTAGTCACCCCAGGTGAGGCAGATGGGCTCGCGTCCTCCGTCGCCGATCCGGACCCATCGGCTCGTGGTTGGTGTTCTGTCCGGTCAAGGCGGACGTGTGTTAGGGGCGGCCGTACGCACGCCACAGAGCGAGGCGCATGTGCGCGAACCTGCTTGCGCCGCGAGCGACGGCGCGAGTCGGCCGCCGGCTCGTCGTCGGATGAGAGCTCGACCACCACCGGCGCGGAGGTCTTAGCCGCCTTGCGCTTGCGTGGCGGCATGCCGACGAGCTTGTCGCGGTCTTGGTGAAGCCGGCAGCGAGTGAGTCCGCCCGCTTGGGTGGGCGCGGAAGAAACACTCGACCTCGTGAACCTTTGCCCGTCTCAGGGCGGCACATTCCCGTTCACATAAACGCACAACCCCAGGCCCCGAAAATCACACGTGGCGCATTCCCGTTCACACAAAAACACAACCCCGGGACCCAAGACGCACACACCCTCACTTAGGCATGAACGCCCGAAACTTGAACGGCGGGCGCTTGACGAACCCAAGGGGGAACGAGGCGGGAGGGGGGCGGAGGGCGGCGGCGAGTGGGGGCAGGGGCGGGGGCGGAAGGTCGAAGGAGGGTGGTGGGGGCAAGGGTGCCGTGGCCGCGAGGCCGGGCCCCGGCGGCGAGGGAGGGGGCAGAGACGGTGGCGACGGCGAGGGCGGCGGCGGCGAGGGCGAGGGGTGGTGAGAGTGGCAGCAGGCCGAGGGGGGCGGGGGTGAGTGCGGTGCGGCGGGGCGGGAGGCGGCGGCGCGAGGGCGGGGGCAAGGGCGGCGGCAAGGGCGGCGGCAAGGGCGGCGGCAAGGGCGAGGGCAAGGGCCGGGGGTAGGTAAGAGATCTCGCGGCGCGGTGACGGCAAGGGCGAGGGCAGCGGAGGGGGTGGGGGCGGTGGCGGCGGCGTGGGTGGCAGCGAGGGAGGCGGGCATGGTGGTGGTGGCGAGGGTGGTGAGAGCAGCGGCGGTGGAGACGGTGGTGACGAGGGCGGTGGCGGTGAGGGTGGCGGGGCGGCTGGAGGCGAGGGCGGCGGCAGGCCGACACGGGGTTGGAGGGAGCGGCGTGCGTGCCTGGCGACGCCTCGGCCAAGTGCGCAAGGAGAGTGGCAAGGGAGGTGACTGGGTGATGCTACAGAGGGTGCTTCGGAACGCAAAGAAGAGCGCATGGAAGGCTCTGAGGGGGGTAGGACGCTTGCGCCGCCCGCTCTGGAGGCCGCATTCAGCCCGGAGGGGACCGCGGGAGCGGCTCGTGGCGGCTCGGAGAGAGCCGGGTGTGTCTGCGTAGTGGCCTGCGCACTGCCTTGGGGCAGGCCGGCGGCGAGGGCGGTGGAGGTGACGGTGGTGGCGAGGGGGGGGCGGCCAGCTAGGGCGGTGGGGCGGCTGGAGGGGAGAGGGTGAGAGCGGCGGCATGCTGGAGGGCGGCGGCGGCGGGGCGGGAGGCGGAGTGTCACACGGAGGCGAGGGTGGCGGCGAGGGCGGCGGTAAAGGGCGGGGGCTAGCGTCCGGAGGGCGGGCTCGACGGCGACGGCAGCTGCAACGGGCGGCGGGGGCAATTTGGGGATGAGGGTGGGGAGGGTGGCCGGAATGGTAGCGGCGGCGTGGGCGGTGGCGAGGGCGGTGGAGGTAACGGTGAAGTGGGTGCTTTGGAACGCAAAGAAGAGCGTGGAAGGCTCTGAGTAGACTCAGACGCTCGCGCCGCCCGCTCCGGAGGCCGCATTCAGCCCGGAGGGGACCGCGGGAGCGCCCAGTGGCGGCTCGGGGAGAGCCGGGTGTGTTTGCGCAGTGGCCTGCGCGCTGCCTTGGGCAGAAATCGCGCTCTCGCCCCCTCGGCTCCGCCCCCGAGCGAGTGAGGCTCGGAGGAGAGGCGAGGGGGGGAGAGCGCCGAGAGAGCGACTGAGGAACGGGAGAGGCCCTGAGGGTTGTTGCGCGCGCGCAACAAATCGTCAGAACCAAGGCTGAATCTCAGCGGATCGTGGCAACAAGGCCACTCTGCCGCGTACAATACCCCGTTCCTTATTCAAGTCGTCTGCAAGGGATTCGTCGGCCCGGGTCCGTGAATTGTGGTCGCTCGCGGCTCAGGCAGTGCTACCGTTGCTCGTGGCGTCCCCGGGCCGGTAGGTGGCTTTCCTTCCGGCATGGATTCTAACTTAGAGGCGTTCAGTTATAATCCGGCGCATGGCAGCTTCGCCGCATCGCCGTTTCCGGCGGCGGCTATACCGATGATGCGAATTGGTGGTTCCTCTCGTACTGAACCAAATTACCGTAGAAAAACAGACAGCAGTAGGGTAAAACTAACCTGTCTCACGACGGTCTAAACCCAGCTCACGTTCCCTGTTGGTGGGTGAACAATCCTGCATTTGGCCCCCGCTGCGAGGCAGTGATAGGAAGAGCCGACATCGAAGGATCAAAAAGCTACGTCGCTATGAACGCTTGGCAGCCACAAGCCAGTTATCCCTGTGGTAACTTTTCTGACACCTCTAGCTTGAAATTCCCAAAGACGAGAGGATCGATAGGCCACGCTTTCGCGGTTTGTATTCGTACTGAAAATCAAAATCAACCGAGCTTTTCCCCTTTCGGTCCACATGAGATTTCTGTTCTCATTGAGCTCAAAATCGGGCGCCTGCGTTATTTTTTAACAGACGTGCCGCCCCAGCCAAACTCCCCACCTGTTAGTGTCCCCGACGCGGATCGCGCGCACGAAGCGGCTTGGATCCAGAAGTGAGGCGAGCCTCCCTCCGCGCCACCGAGTAAGTAAAACAACGTTGACGGTTGCGGTATTTCACTGTCGGGTTGCCCCTCCCGCATATTCTACACCCATCAAGTCGTTCCACAGTAACAGACTAGAGTCAAGCTCAACAGGGTCTTCTTTCCCCGCTGATTCTTCCAAGCCCGTTCCCTTGGCTGTGGTTTCGCTAGACAGTAGATAGGGACAGTGGGAATCTCACGAATCCATTCATGCGCGTCACTAATTGGATGACGAGGCATTTGGCTACCTTAAGAGAGTCATAGTTACTCCCGCCGTTTACCCGCGCTTGGTTGAATTTCTTCACTTTGACATTCAGAGCACTGGGCAGAAATCACATTGCGTCAGCACCCTCGCGGGCCATCGCAATGCTTTGTTTTAATTAAACAGTCGGATTCCCCTTGTCCGCGCCAGTTCTGAAGCGGCTGTTCGTCGCGCAGGGAGAGCCGGAGCGCTCCTAGGCCGTCCGCCGGACGGCCGCGCGGGATCCGCAGCCGTGAGGCCGTAGTCCCCGCGCAGCCAGCCGGCCTCGAGCCTAGGACCCCTGCGCCCAGCCTTCAGAGCCATTCCTTCTCCCGAGGTTGCGGAACCATTTTGCCGACTTCCCTTACCTACATTGCTCTATCGACTAGAGGCTGTTCACCTTGGAGACCTGATGCGGTTATGAGTACGACCAGGCGTGAGAACGAACCGCTCCCCCAGATTTTCACGGGCCGTCGGGAGCGCGCCGGACACCCCAAGACTTAGGGTGCTTTGCCTGCCGTGTAGCCCTCGCTCCGGCTAAACCGATTCCAGGGCAGGAGGCAGTTAAGAAGAAAAGAGAACTCTTCCCAGGGCTCCCGCCGGCGTCTCCGGGTTCGTTCGCGTCGCCGCCCACCATCCACGCGCTGGCTCGGGAATATTAACCCGATTCCCTTTCGACGGACGGGCTGACAGAACCAGCCGCGTTCGGCGGAGTTTTCCTGTCTCTTAGGGTCGGCTCACCCGTGTCCAACTGCTGTTCACACGGAACCTTTCTCCACTTCAGTCTTCAAAGTTCTCATTTGAATATTTGCTACTACCACCAAGATCTGCACCGGGGCCCGCTTCACCCAGGCTCGCGCCCAAGGCTGCGCCGCGAGCCCCGCGCCCTCCTACTCGCCGGCGCCTCGCGCTCGCGCCGGCGGCCGCGCATCGGTGGTCCGCTTGAGCGCCATCCATTTTCAGGGCTAGTACCTTCGGCAGGTGAGTTGTTACACACTCCTTAGCGGGTTCCGACTTCCATGGCCACCGTCCTGCTGTCTGGAGGTACCAACGCCTTTTGTGGTATCTGATGAGCGGACACTTGGGTACCTTAGCGCGGCGTTCGGTTCATCCCGCATCGCCAGTTCTGCTTACCAAAAATGGCCCACTTTGAACGCGCCGTTCGCCGCCCGGGATCACTCAAGCATCCCGGGCCTCTTGCCCATTTAAAGTTTGAGAATAGGTGCAAGCTGTTTCAGCCCACAGGCCTCTAATCATTCGCTTTACCTGACAAAACCGTTGCGTTCAAGCTATCCTGAGGGAAACTTCGGAGGGAACCAGCTACTAGATGGTTCGATTAGTCTTTCGCCCCTATACCCAGATTCGACGAACGATTTGCACGTCAGTATCGCTACGAGCCTCCACCAGAGTTTCCTCTGGCTTCACCCTACCCAGGCATAGTTCACCATCTTTCGGGTCCCGACAGGTGTGCTCCACTCAAACCCCTCACAGCAGGTCAAGGTCGGTTGGCAGGGCATGCCCTTCACTTTCATTCCGCACGCGGGCTTGCCACCCGGGTACTCGCACACGTGTCAGACTCCTTGGTCCGTGTTTCTAGACGGGTCGGAGGGGCCCGTTCCGTCAGCCGGGCCCCGGGCCGCGCCAGGACGGGAGCTGGCCGTAAAGCCCCGCTCCCGGGTTGAGGCGCGGCGCCGAGGCGCGGCTGACCCGGCGCGCAGAAGTGCACCTGGGGAGAACCCCAGGCTGAGTCGGCGCGCCGAAGCCGGGCCCATCCGGGTTTCCTCCTACCGATTTCAAGCACTCTTTGACTCTCTTTTCAAAGTTCTTTGCATCTTTCCCTCACGGTACTTGTTCGCTATCGGTCTCTCGCCAGTATTTAGCTTTAGATGGAATTTACCACCCAATTCAAGCTGCAATCCCAAGCAACCCGACTCGACGAGGACGCATCGTAAGGCCGCAACCCGCCACGGTACGGGATTCTCACCCTCTCCGACACCCTGTTCCAAGGGACTTGAGCGGCGGGCGCGGCCGATAACGCCTCTCTAGACCACAATTCGGGGGGCGCTGCATACGCGAGGCCTCCAGATTGGCAGCGTGAGCTCAGCCCGCTTCATTCGCCATTACTAGGGGCGATCCTGGTTAGTTTCTTCTC